TGGCAGCTTGTTGGAAATGCACGCTGGGAGGCCCCATCCTGGGCCTACTGAAGCAGGACCCCAGGGCATCTGTGGGCACGCCGATGATGCTTGAGGAGCACACTTGCTCAAAGGGGCTGGCAGTGCTGAGAGTTCAGGGGTGGAGCCCAGGAGCTGCACTTGCAGCCTGGAGAGGCTCAGGTCTCACAGGAGCTCCTGTCCCCTCAGCACCACACACACACACACACACACACACACACACAAACACGTGTGCACACACGCACACATATACACATGCACACATATACACAATGGACACATACACACGCACATGTGCACCATGACACACACACGCCCATGTTGCATGCATACACTCAGCCTTGATGCGGCATGCCCTGCCCCCCGCTCTCAGGAGGACCCTCCTCTTCACCCCCCAACTGCACAGTGCCTGTCCTGTGCTCTCATACAGAGAGCAAGCAGGTATTTGGGCAGCGGGGGCGGGGGGGCACCCTCCTTTCCAGAGGTGTCGCTCCAAGCCCCCGAGCCGAGCAGGCTCCTGGCACTGGGTAGATGGGCAGCAAAAACTCAAAAGTCTGAAGAAGGGACACCTGGGTGGCTCAGCAGTTGAATGTCTGCCTTTTGCACAGGGTGTGATCCCGGGGTCCTGGGATCAAGTCCCACATCCGGATCTTTGCAGGGAGCCTGTTTCTCCCTCTGCCTGTGTCTCTGGCTCTCTCTGTGTGTCTTTCATGAAGAAATAAATAAAATCTGTAAAACAAAAAAAAAAAAGAGTCTTAAGAAAACTTCTGAAATGTGGGCGCCCTGGTTGTCGATGCTGTGGAGCAACAAGGATGAATCGACACTGCAGCGCTCATTTCGCAGCTAGCCTTCACTGATCCTCGACCATGGAGGAGGGAGGAAAAGATGAATAAGAAGGAGGAAAGTGTATCTGGCTGAGGGAACTGCCTGGGAGGATAAGAAGGCACAGCGTATTCTGGAAGGTGAAAAGTCTAGTTTCTCCTGGAGCCTAGGTAAGCAAGGGTCACATTCCTCTGGGCCCAACTAAAAAATAAATTCCTCGGGGACTGTACAGACCAGGCTCAGGAGTTTGGACTTTATCTCTCGGGGAGCTAGGGGCTGGTGAGGGTTAAGTAACAGCAGTATTGCGAGGGTGAGCACATTAATTATTGAAAGCTGCGTGGCTGGAATTGGTAGGGAAGAGTCTGGAACCCTGGCACCGGGCTGTGACCACACCTGTGCAACTGAATCAGGACCGCCCATTTTCTCTCCACCCTCTTCCCCAAATCAGATAACCGGGGCAGGCTGACCTTCTATCCTCTGGGATTAGTGTCCTGATTGACATGTGGCGACGTGGGACCAGACAGGTGGATCAGTGGGGTGGAGGGGAAGGTGAAAGGCCCCCAGGGAGCACTCAGGGTGAGGCTTCATGGAGCTGGGAGCCCTGCTGCCCTTGCACCCGACCTCTGAGACCGGATTGTCCCACTGGCCCCTGCCACACAGAAGTTGTCCCCCTACCCCACCCCAAGGCCCCGTGGAGTGCTGGATCCAGTTTCCATAGGCTTGTGCGTGCCGGCTGGTACCTTTTCTTTTCTTTTTCTTTTTTTTTTTTTTAAGATTTTATTTATTTATTTATTCAGAGAGAGAGAGAGAGAGGGAGAGAGGCAGAGACACAGGCAGAGGGAGAAGCAGGCTCCATGCAGGGAGCCCGACGTGGGACTTGAGCCCGGGTCTCCAGGATCACACCCCGGGCTGCAGGCGGCGCTAAACCACTGCGCCACTGGGGCTGCCCTGGCTGGTACATTTTCCAGAATTTTGTGAGCTGATTGTTGAGGGCAGCCAGGATTAAAGCTTCTGTTATAGAAACTAACAGATAAATGATGTAAAACAGAGGTCCCAAATGCACTCAAACCCCACCACCTCCTAATCATTCACTACACCTTCATCAGGCTCCTGAGGCTCACCCACTGCGTGTGTAGAATGGAGATTTGTGCATCGCTGTGCTTCGGAGCGTCTCTGCCCAGTGTTCAGTGGCACCACGTTGGAACTTGGCCTTGGCCGCGGTGGGGGTATTTAGACCAGCGACATTGGTGAGTGCCACAAAGCAGAGGTCCGTGGAGAGCCGGCCTGGCCAGTTGCGCATTTGACACCAGTAACCTCCACCCCTGCTCTGCTGGCTCCCTGAGGAAACACCATCACTCCTCCCCAGTTTGTTCTTTAGGCTTCTAGCAGCACAACCAGTCTTGTCAGATTAGACAGAGCCGTTGGGTGTGTGTCAGGAAGGCATGAGGACCTTACCAGGAGCCTGAGCATCGCCCCCTGAGGATTTACTTAGTCTTAGTCTGGGGTGTCTCTGTGTGCTTCCCACAGCCCGCAGGCTGGCCCCCCCACCCTGGACAGGCTCTTGGGGTGGCTGGCAGTGTGACCGCAGGGGCGTGCGGGCCTGATTCCTGGTGGTGAGGAATGGAAGAGGGGCCTCGCCTTTGTCACACCAATGACCAGCCATCAGCCTCCTGTTCCAGGTGGCAGGCAACTGCACTGGGCATCTGTCTGGGGTGCCCAGTTCCCGAATGCCGCCGTGTGGCCGGGCACCTTCTGGGGAAAACTCACTCACGAGAAAAGAACAGGCCAAGCAGATAGCTGGAGGTGGCAACCTGCCTTTGTCCTAAACTATTCAACGACATTAAAAAGGCAGCCCTGTCTATGCGGATGGCTGAGCCTTCTTTCGCCACAAATTTAAATTCTCAGGGATCCCTTCATGACCCCGGAGTCAATAAGAGAGACGTCTCTTAAATAGGACATCTTTAAAAAAAAAAAAAAAACTAACAGAGACCACCAAAGAAAAAGATGGGCCAACTGGACTTGGTTAAAATCAAGAGCATCTGGAGGCACCTGGGTGGCTCAGTGCTTGAGTGTCTGCTCAGGTCGTGATCCCGGGGTCCTGGGATCGGGTTCCCCACGGGGAGCCTGCTTCTCCCTCTGCCTATGTCTCTGCCTCTCTCTGTGTGTCTTTCATGAATAAATAAAATATTTTTAAAAAAGATAAAAATCACAGTGAGCCAACACTACACACCCACAAAACCAGGTAGCACTTTTAAGACAGAATGACAGATGTCCATGAGGACACAAAACACCTGAAACTCCCGTGGGAGTGCAAAACTGGTACTGCCTCTCCTGGGAACAGTTAGGCAATACCAGCTCCCGCTAACCCTCCACTCACCGTCCGGTCTGGAAGGTCCCAGTGCTGCGTGTACTCATCCCCCAAGGGCACTGGAATGTTCGCCAGAGCCCCACCGTGGAGATGTCCTCTGGTCATCCACTAGAGTATGTCCGCACGTGGAATATGACACAGCAGTGAGGAAGAGGAGCCCAGGGAAGTCTATGCAGGAGCAGAATGACGGCCACAAGGACGCTGATCATGGAAGAGGACACACTGTCCAAGTTCATGTGCACAGAGGTTAAAGCGGCCGGGACTAACCTAGCCAGGCAGACCAGGACGGTGGGACCCTCCGGGGAGGATGCAAGGTGTAGGGAAAACACCCACTAGAATCCCAAAGTTTAAAAAGCAAAATAAAAAATAAAATAAAATAATAAAAATACAAATAAACAAAAAGCAAAATAGTCTTCCTTGCTGCCTTGTGGACTTTTGGGGCTCTGGCTTTTGGGGCTAGAAAATTCAAGGACAGGCAGTGGGTCTGAGGAGCCTCCACCTTCCTCAGCACACTGCCCTTCCCCAGCCGCCAGCCGGGCAGGACCTCGGGGGAAACCAAAGAGGTGATTTCATTGTGGCTTCACGGAAGATTTCCTCTAGCAACTCTGCTTTTCATCTCGGTTTCATTTTATTTATGGATCAAGCATTTTCTTAGCTTTCCTACGTACCAGGCCCTGTTCAAAGCATACCATTATCATGAGCTGATTTAGCGTGCCAGCTGTTCATTCCTCCAGACTACGGGGGACTTCGAACAGTGGCCCCTTTATTGTGCACTTACTATGTGGCAGGTCCTAAGCTAAGTTATCAACTAATTCTCACACGAGCCGTCACAGGTTTGTTTCCGTGACATGAGGCTCCGAGAGGTTCAGGGATTCGTCCAAGGTCACACGGCTCAGTGGCAGTGCTGAGAGCCAAAGCCAGCTGTGGCACTTCTCCAGAGCACCAGGCTTAGACATGTCTGGTGTGACCACCTGGAACCAAACAGCCTTTCCAGACTGTTTTTTTTAGGCCTCAACTCCAGTGAAATGGAGCCGAATCTCTAGCCCTTAGACCCGCCAGAGCAGTAGAGTATCGCACACCTGACCCCCACCTGGCCCCACAGAGCCAGACTCCCCGCGCTACATACCTAGTCAAGTGGGGCCTGTCTGTAGATGGAGGGCAACCTGGCTGGCGGGATCGCTCTTCCTTCAAGAAGCGTGTGTGTGTGTGTGTGTGTGTGTGTGTGTGTGTGTGCAGCAGTGGAGGTGCTGCAAAGTCCCTCTCTCCATCCCTCCTTCCCTGCCTTCCAGTTTCTGGGTAACCGTCCAGTCTCCTCCTCCGGGAAGTCCTCCAGGACCACCCCAGCCTACCCCCACGGTACTGCTCACCCTTTTGGTTTGCCTTAGTTGCCTTTCTCCTGTCTCAGTCTTCTATACAAAGGACTAAAATGGGCCACTATGAAATTGTCCTTTCTGTGGGTCAACAGTAGTTGAAAATGGGACCTTTTTATCCCGGCCAATGTAAGCAGTTCCCTCTCGGGAATGTCGGGTCCCACGGGGGTGTGTGTGTGTGTGTGTGTGTGGCCCCCGGCGCGTGCCCAGACGATGCCCAGCACCCAGGAGGCACCCAGCGGACGGTGGGCAGGCGGCCGGGAGCACCTGCGGGCTCCGACGCGCTCCCCGCACCGCGCCCTCCCGGGCGCAATCCCGGGCGCCTTCCGGGCGGCGGCGGCCGGGCGGGGTGGGGCTCGGCGTCATCCGTTCACCAGCCTCGCCCCTCCGCGGCGCGCGTTAATGAGATTAGCAATTAAAAAGCGAGCGAGCGAGCGGCGGCGGCCCGGGCGCGGGGCCACCCCCAGGCCGAGCGGGCGGGACGCGCCGGCAGCCGCGCTCCGAAGCAGCCCCCGCGCCCGCCATGGAGAAGGCGCGGCCGCTGTGGGCCAACTCGCTGCAGTTCGTCTTCGCCTGCATCTCGTACGCCGTGGGCCTGGGCAACGTGTGGCGCTTCCCCTACCTGTGCCAGATGTACGGCGGAGGTGAGTGCGGCGCGCGGGGGGCGCGCGCCCGGGCCGGGAAACTGAGGCAGACCCGCGGGCTCGGACCCGCGCGCCCCGGTCCGCCTGGCGCTTATCCGAAGGCGCCCTCCTGCGCGCCCTGCAACCCCCACCCCACTCCCTCCGCAAACCCCCACCCCTCTCCCTCCGCAAACCCCCACCCCACTCCCTCCGCAAACCCCCACCCTCTCCCTCCGCAAACCCCCACCCCTCTCCCTCCGCAAACCCCCACCCCTCTCCCTCCGCAAACCCCCACCCCACTCCCTCCGCAAACCCCCACCCCTCTCCCTCCGCAAACCCCCACCCCTCTCCCTCCGCAAAGCCCCCACGCCCTCCCCCTGCAAGCCCCCCACTCCGCCCCAGGTGCTGCTGAGCCCCTTCCTGCACCCCAGCTCTGTGAGCAGGACGCTCCGGACTGTTTTCTCCATGGGGCAATCGCCTGACTTCTAGTGAGTAAACCTGACATTTAATTGCAAAAAGTGAGCAGGAAATTGTCCCCTTCAACAGAAACCTCTGCGACAGTTTTCAAATTTGAAACACGCTCCAAGGAGTTCGGTTTGAAACAGGTTAAAAGAATCTTGAGCCAGCTCTTTAAATTCCCTATTAAAACATTGGTTTTGGGGCAGCCCAGGTGGCTCGGCGGTTTAGCGCCGCCTTCAGCACAGGGCGTGATCCTGGGGTCCTGGGATGGAGTCCCACGTCGGGCTCCCTGCATGGAGCCTGCTTCTCCCTCTGCCTGTGTCTCTGCCTCTCTCTCTCTCTCTCTCTCTCTCTCTCTCATGAATAAATAAATAAAATAAATCAAAAATAAATTCAAAAATATGCCAAGAAAAGAGGAGAAAAAAATATGCCAAAATGTTGATAATGGTTATCTCAGGGTGATTTTTCTTTGCCTTGGACTGTGTGTGCACGTGTGTGAGTGTGTGTGTGTGTGTGTGTGTGTGTGTGATCTATACCTAGGAATGGTTTTTCACCATAAAGGACAATAAAAGATGTTAGACCAAACTATTTACACAATTTAACCCATTTAAGAAGGACCAAACCTAAACTACCGCTCCCCCGCCTTCCCCCAACCAGCTCAAAAAAAGGAAATCCCAAACCTGACAAAAGGTTAACTCTCTGATTCCCTTTTTTATTTGAAGGGTATAAATACATCATAATTATGGGAAGGGCATGCCTTGCCATGTGTTGTAACAGCTTCTTAACTGACTTTTGAAAGAATCATTGGTCAGGATGAGATTCCACGTCCTCCTGTGCTCAGCACACCTACCTATGATACCTTTGTCCTGGCTGCATGTTTTCCAACCACCCGGCCAGGTGAGCCTTGCTGTCACGTGACAGTTTCCTTGTTTCTAATGACACCGTCCCCTGAATAGTCTGCAGGTGACACAGGTCAGTAGGAGTAGTGCTGAAATAGAATATATGTAAGGAGTTTACTAGGGGAACCGCAGGACCTTTAAGACCTGGAAAAGGAAAGAAGAAATCCTGGGGCAGGGGCGGGGTGGGGGGTGGGGTCATGCACCTGGGTGGCTCAGTCAGTTGAGTGTCTGCCTTTGGTTCAGGTCATGATCCCAGGGTCCTGGGATCGAGCCCCATGTCCAGCGCCCTGCTCAGCGGGAAACCTGCTTCGCCCTTCTCCCTCTGCCTGCAGCTCCCCTGCTTGTGCTCTCTTGCTTTCTCTCTGTCAAATAATGGATGAAATCTTAAAAAAAAAAAAAAAAAAGCTGTGTCTGGTATAGAGTATACTCGGGCCGGCTGGGTCCAGGGTGGGCAGATATAGGCTGTGCGGGTGGCACCTTCTTAAGCATAAGTGTCTACAGAATAAGGACCCCACAGCTTCTCCTGGCACAGTAAGGACTTCGTCACCCAACACCTGCTCCTCTTTCCACTCCATTTCCTGCCACTCATCTTCCAGCCCCACCAACTGTTCTGGACAGTTCTCTGTCTGCGAATGCCTACTCTCTGCCTCCACTCTTTGCACGAGCCATTTCGTCCACCCGGGAAGCTGTCGGTGGCCTGGAGGCCTCCTTTCTCTGCCAGCCCCCAGGCCCACTGGTGGGGTCAGAGGAGGCGCCAACGAATATTTGTTGGACAGCTGAGCAACCTCTGTTAGGGAAAGCGCGGGGTACACAAGGTGGGGATGCTGGCAGTTTTCCCAAGGGTCTTCCCCTGTCGAGTGGTATTACCTTTTAATAAGTGATTTATGTGGCCCAAAACCCCAGCCCTTTGCAGACCCATTCTTTACCTAAAGCTAAGAGGTAAACCAACCACATCAGGAAAGTGTCACCTCCTTCTAAGCAGCACCGTGACCCACCACCTCCAGCCAACAAAGGGCTTGTTTATAAGCTACAGAGCCAAACTGCGCCAAAATACTTGCCAGAATAAAGCGGATTAAGGGTCCGAGCTCCTTTCCATGGGGCTGGGCCCATGACTGGGGACGCTTGTGTCGTTCCTGCTCCGGGGCCAGGCCCAGCACGAGGAATGTTAATTCTGAAGATTACGTTCCGGGTACCAACCAGCTCTGTGCAGTGCGCCGGCTCTAGAGGAAACATAAAAGGGCACAAAACCTCTTCTTGAACGGGTCAGCAGGTCTCGGCGACCGTGTCGGCATCTAAGGCGGTGTTCTTTTGAAAGAAATTCAGTATGAAAATGTCCTTGTAGAAAAGAAACGCACCAGAAACTGCTTTTCATACAAACATGCTCTAGTCACGGAAGAGAGGCGGACAAATGGGAACAGTTGCGTGGCTGGTGGTAGTGTGGATGCTTTTCCTCCGGAGTGTTCTCTCTATTATATCTGGTGAAGAGGAGGAAATCGGGGGACAGTTGCCTGTATTGGTTTGATGACACTCAGACTGGATGTCTCACTCCCCCTCGACGCCCAGTCTGCTCCTCTCTGGCACTCAGAGCATGGCACCCCCAACTGTAGCCTTTCTGGGGAGCCTGATGAACTGCAGGTCTCAGGCGCCTGCTCCCCACCCCCGAGATTCTGACTCAGAGACCTGCGGGGAGGCAGGGGCAGGATCTACCTTTCTAGCAAGGTCCTAAGTGGTGCTGATGCTGCACGTCCTTGGACCAAGGTCAGGGTTGCTCTTGTGTCATCCACCGGGCCACCAGCTGCTAGGAGCCTGGTAGCCAGGTGCTGGAAAACGTTGAGCAGCTGGCTTCTGGTGGGAGAAGTAAGATCTAACTGGCAACATTTGATGATCCTTGCACTGTACATACTCCCCCCATGGCCGATTTCACACTGGAATGTCCTGGGATGTGACAGCATAAAGTCCTAGGACGTGGGGCTAGCAGAGGTGCACACAGCCAGCCCTCAAGAGCTGGTCTGAGCTGGCCCCATGTGCCCCCGTGGCAGGACACGTGGATGGCACTGCAACTGCTCACTTGTGTGCATGTGTGCACGGTGCATGTGCATGTGTGTTTCTGCAGTTCTCCTGGGTGGGACGGAAGCCTGAAGTTCAAAGGTTGTAGCACATTGACCACATAAAGTTTCCAAAGTCAACTCTGGATGGTAGGTGAGAAAAACGTGCTCAGTGAGTCCCTTGAGAAGCCAAGTCTGGGCTTCTAGACTCAGTGCTGGGAACCAGCATGTCTGGGCTCCTCGTAGCAACACAGTGAAGTGTTTCCTGCAAATACCCAAAGTCCTCCTCCCAGCACCCCTGCAGTTGGTCCTGTTGTCCCCACTAAGAGGTAGGACACAAGTCCAGGAAAGAAAAGGAGGCTCCTGGAGGTGGAGCTGGGGCTCAGGCCACTTCCATGTCAGAGCCAGGCTCTTCCCCAGACCCCTGGTGTCAGGGTTTCCTGTTCTGATAAAGGCAGGACAGAAGTGACTGCTCCAGCGGCCCAGGCCTCCTCCCAGGTCCAAACTGGCTCCAGCTCAGGGCCCTTCCCCACACTGTGACCAGAGGTGGCCCAGATGAGCACCTGGTGTCCGCAGTGTCCCCTGTGGCTTTCAGGCAGCCCTCCCTCCACCCCTGCCCTTCTCCCAAATGTACACCCTCCCTCTGTGGGGCATACCCCATACTCCTCGCCCTCTCCGGGACACCTCCTCCTCCCTAAGTTAAAAGCGGCTCCCTAAGTTAAAGCCGTGACTTACCATGCACAGCACCGTGGACTCTGACACAGCTCACCCCCGTCCCCCACAGTGGGAAGAGCCCCCTGCCAGGACGCAGCGTCCACCTGCCAGTGGAGAAGCCTCTACCCTGTCCACACGTTAGCATCCCCCAGGAGCTGGGGAACACCCTGACATCCATGATTTCCCCACCCCAAATCCTGATAGGGTTGGTCTCATGGTGTAGTAGCTTTAAAGCTCCCCAGGAGATCCTGATGTGCACTGGGGATGAGAACTTCCATCTTAGATCCTTTTCCAAAGAGGCAGGAGTGTAGAAAATTGAACAGTCAACAATAAAACCTCTTAGGAATTTAATTTCAGTCCTTCAACAAGTTATCGATTGAGCATCTGCTGCGGGCCAGGGACAAAGCTGGCCATCACCCTTGAGGATGCCACGTCATGAACATATCCCTTCTGCGGAAGAGCTGACTGCCTGAAAGAGCCCAGAAAGGCTTCCAGCAGTGGTGGCATTTCATCTAGGCCTGGACAGATGAGTCTGAGCTCATTGGTAGATTTAGGGACAAAATCATTCCGGGCAGAAGAAGCCGTGTGTGCAAAAGACACAGAAGGATGAGCATCTGAAGGGAATGGCTGGAAACTATGTGGCCAGGATATCTGGGGTGGGGGCCAGGGCCATGGTGGGAGGGGACATGAGGAAGAGTCCAGCATGAATGCAAACCTAAGGTCTTTGACTAACAGGTTGACAAGATGGATCTTCACTTGGACAGCAGAGTCAGGATTTCAGGCGGAGAAGCAGGGCCTTCAGAGCCATGGGGGACTGAGAGGGTGCCAAGATAGAACCCAGGACCCCGTTCACCAGGGTAGCTGGTGATGATGCTGCTGGCACAGGGGATGGGCAAGGAGGGAC